CATCAGGAGGTAAAACGCTAGCTACAGACATGATACATCAGTCAACACGGTCAACTATAACACACCATCATCGTTCGGTTCGACATCTCTGCACTCAACAAAAACTCGGCGTTCTTGCCGTTCGTCGTGCCGACTCTGCATGTGAAACAACCACCTTTGCGCACCGCATGATCTTCGTCAGCCGTCGCCTCACCCGTTCGTCTTTCCAGCGCTCTTGCACGTCATTTAGTCGAGCACGATGAGCTTCGCACACCCTGATGGATTGCCATCACTCATCTGCTCAGTCGGAAGACCGAGTCAGTCTTACTCATCTTACGAAGAGGAGGATACATGACCATGTATGAACCGAATAAAATCCTTTGCATTATGAGGCATCATCTTTCAAGCTTTCTGTCTACGATTCTACACTTGCTACGTTTTTCCTCGATCTATTCTCTCGTTCGTTCGTTCGTTCGCTCGTTCGATTCATTCACGCGGCGTCTCTCATCAGTCGGTCGCGAATATGCAAACGCGCGCGCACCGCTAATGATTCACCAGGGAATTATCGACGGCCAGCAACGGGAGGCTGAGGTCTTCCCGCCGCCGCGCCATTACCAGCCTGTTGTTGTTGTTGTTGCTGTTGTGGCGTCGAAGTGGCAGGCATGGTCATCTTCATCCAGTTCTGAGTAACGGTCTTGATCGTTCCCCACGCATTGACGAGCGCAGGCGGTTTGCCCACGAGCAGCCGGTCAATGGTACCCGTGGCTGACGCGACGGCTTGGCGGGTGTACGCGGAGGAGATGTAGCGCATGCGGATAAAATGGGCGAGGAAGATGGCGGTGAGGAAGGAGCCTCGGAAGCTGGTGGATGGCGGAACGGGAAGGGGGCGGGGGAGGTGTGAGCCTGATGCGTGGTGGATAGGAGGAAACGTGGGAGCGCGAGAGGACTCACGTAACAGCTCGCAAAATGACCCATCCTAGAATCCCCAACTCGGCCTGCGAAACGAACCGCATGGCTGGGTCATAGTTCTGCTTTGTCCACCCGCCGAGCTTTTTCCCGAACTCGGCTAGTCCGGATGCGGGAGTCGGGCTGGGCTGAGTGGCACCGGCGGTGGTGGTGGTGGATGTGCGAGGTTGTTGGACGGCCGGTTGTCTATAAGGGAGGAGGGTGTCAGCGGGTGTTTCTGGTTTGGAAAGGTTGTTGCTCTAGCGCGTTGCCGAGCGGTGTTCTTGTTTCCAGCGATTTCTGCGCAGGATATACGCCTTGTTTTCCGGTAGGAGCATCCAAGACGTGCCATCCCCGTTTCCCGACAGCGCGTGCCGACATCGTTCTCCCAGTTTCAACGCGCTCATCAAGACTTACTTTGCGATCTTGGGAATAATGGTGGACCGCACAAACGTCAGACAGTGGAAGAGCGAGAACGTTGCGAATGGGATGAGGGAAACTATTGCCGAACCAAACGTGTTATCAGTCTTGACCATCGCTCGTCTGTCGCCCGACGCGATGTACTCACTGTATACGGGCTTGGAAACAAACCAGTACAACGCCAACAGCGCATACTGCACATTTTCATCCTTGAGTGCGCGTTGGAGGTAGGTCTGGTTCAGCGCGGGTTGACCAAGGGATTTGAGGACGACGATGGCGTAGGAGACAAGGGTGCCGATGTACGCGGCTAGGGAGAGGGGGGATAGACTCGATCAGTCACTGAAAAGGATCAATACGTGGGTGACGCTTTGAACGTACCTCTGTACCAGAAATTGGTGAGGGGAGCCTTGGAGAACAGTCCGATCGTGTACGCCCAGACGATACGGGCTGCGGAGGAAGGGACACCGTCAGTGGAAATCTTGGGCTGTGGGGTCCGCCGGGATACGCACCGGTGGAGGAGAGGAGCAAGAAATGGCCTGCGGCCCAGAGGTAGTGGGGGTCCATGGACATTGTGGTGTGTGTCGTGTGGAAAGGCAGAGCGAAGGGAGAAGGCCGTCGAAAGGGAACGAGCATTGTATAGGCCTCCTCGGAGCGATTCGTCATGCAGACGCGCTTGCTAGAAGCGCACCAAGCGCCATGACATCATCGCGCGACTGAACAGCCCGCCGTCGCCACATAAACCTGACCCGTTCACTGGAGTATCATCCAACGTCTTCCGGACGGCTGACGCAGTGAGCTTGTCTACTATGGGTAATTCATATCTACTCGCTGTAAGACGGGACCGACACTCGGTCCGCCAGGGGCCTGGCAATGCATTTCCCAGCTGTTTCTGCGCCGGGCCACAGACTGCGCAACAACGTCCTACTCGTACCCCTTCCCTCCGTCTCGAGGCAGCCACGTCCCACATCCTGATCAGGCCTTGATATCGTTAGATGACTCCTCCATCGATGCTCTCGTCCGCTGAGCGATTCCCCATCCCTCTCCACTGCAAAACATAGACAAGCTTCTAGCAACACCTAGACTCCATCGTCTCAGGAACCGCCACGGCCGCGGAAAGCGCACAGGCGTTGGACGCACAGCTTCCAACCAACCGGAAACTATAGCTGCTGGACGGTTATCCGGGGGTTCCTCACGGGTCTGCTCGTCAATGGGTACTACTACAAGCCCGTCCCAGGCCGGGTGTATCCCTCAGCTGGGGATCCAAGGGTTAAGGTTCAGTGATGGTCCAGAGGGGAATTAACTGTGCGGGACGACTACCACGGTCCCTGCCGTGTCGGCGAGCGCACATACTTTCGATCCCAAGTTGGAGGAACAAGTGGCGAGTTTCTCGCGTGGCGCATAGTCTGGGCTTGGGCTGAAGCTGGGGGGAGAGGATGGCTGAGATGCACCACCTTCGCGCCGCCCGCCCCACCACTTCCGCCAGGGAGGCGCACACAACAGTCGTACGGTCAAGTCTCGCTCCTCATCGTCCGTATCCTCGGCGCACGCGCTCTTCCTTGTGATGTCGCGGAAAACGATATCGCCTGGCGTCAAGCATTTCGGGCTCAACCCGATGGAGATCCCGTTCCAGGTGGACGTCCAGTGTCGAGGAAGGAATGCTGCATCGTTGTTCACTGCCCCAGTTTCGGCAGTGTTTTCGTACCGAGGCCGGGCAGAGTCCTTTAGAGCGCGTACAACTCGGTGAATGGGGAGTATGCGGGGGATGGTAAAGTGCTGTTTAGCGGGGATCTTGCGGGCACGAGGACGTCGTTATTACCTCTGACTGACTTTAGGAAACCCGCGACGCCGTCAAGGCTGGGGTGGATATTGAGATGCCCCTTTCGAAGCATTCGAGCCAAGCATATCTCCCCGCGCGGCAAGGTCTTGTCGAGTGGTCCGATATCGATCGCGGACGGATTAGACAGAGCATTCTGCGGCTGCGGCTCAAGTACACTGCGTCGGCCAGCAATGAGGAAGGGTAGGGCTGCAAGTTTTTGCCCCTCCAGGCAAAGGCACAACGCATTCTCGTTGTTGGTCAACTTGTCATGTCGACACAAACGGGTCATGACGGGTGTTGGTTCGTTCCGGATCCAACGATCGTTAGTCCCCTTGCAGGCCTCGAACCGCAAAGTATTGTCGCGATTCACTATATCGACCGACGCGATCTCAGTCGAGTTGAGCAGGAGTGCGACAAGGCGGGGAGTTTCGTCATTGTCAAATATACGGGGAGAGATGAAGGAGAGTTTGGCGCCGGTTTTGAGCAGGTCGGGATGGCCGTGTTACTTCCCTTTGTCGCTTCGCATATTGGCGTAGCATACCCTCTAAATTACGTCGCCAACAAGGCAATCGAATTGCTTTAGGTCCTCAAAGCAGGTATCGCTGGCGGGGACAGCAAACCGTTGTCACTCGATCCTACAAACGAACAGTTGGCCACCACGATCATCAATATCGCAGAGAACAAGACTATCCTCGCCGTCGGAGCCAGCGGACCGGTAGTTCTGCGCAAGGGAGTACGGAGAACGTCGCCACCAGTTTGATGACTGGATATGGAAGCTGTCAGTTTGGGAACCCGGTGCGACATGTGCTTTTCGGACAGGCTGAGCCTGCCGGTCGACCAGCGTACGATATTGCCGAATCAGAGCAAGATATCGCAGACATCGCAGACATCGACATGAATGCTACTTTCGTCATCCATCTACCGTCGTTCCTGGGTTTATCGATTACTTCAGCAAGAACAAAAGTGGACTGCCCATCCTTTTGGGTTGGGCCTGGGCTACGGCGATATTCGTCTTGTCGGCGACACGCTTCATGCACCGTCTGTTCTCGATCCCAGGATTTTCACTTTAGAGGGCAAAGTGACGAACCATGGGCAGTCATGCCTCCTCGGGCGTCATCCAGACCTATGCAGTGGAAGCAGCGCCTATCAGCTCGGAAGACGATCGCCTTCGCGTCTTCATAGGGTTGACTCGTATGCCAACCTTGGCTCTCGGCGAGTCAAAGACGATCTCCGTTCCATGTCGACTGAACCCAGTCGCTCGCTGGAACAAGGTTGACAAGGTATTCGAGGCCGCGAGGGGCGATTACTCTCCCCGCGTTTCACGATACGAAGGAGATACTCAGAGCCTGGTCGAGGGAGTATTCGTGGATTCCGTGGCTTGGGAGTTCTCGCGATGGGTGTCTAGCCATTTTGTATCACTCCCGGCAAAGTCAGAAACCCCTGTCAGTCTAATGCATCCCTGAACCATGTTGCTGCTGTACCGAACACCAGTCGCATTCTTCAAGTATGTATCTTTTCTTCTTGGCTCGTAGCATGCCTTGAAGCATGCACCTCCCCGAGAACTTCAGACCTACAACCCGATATGCCGTATTTTGAGGCGAAAGTTTGGATTGTCAAAAGCTTTGTCAATATATGCAGCAGGACCAGCCTCGAGGAAGCAGTCCGCTTCATTCCGAGACTTTCATAAATCGGTAATGGCCCCCAACTGATTATGCTCCCAGACCTCTGGACGAGACACCTTTGATGAAATAAAGACACTAAGAGTTACCGAGAGTAGCTACGGGTGCTGCGGGGTGGCAAAAACTTGCCACCCAAGACTACGGGTCCTTAGGCAAAAGGTTGACCCTAGAGTGAATCGAACACTCGCCTCGGCAGAATTGCTACTGAGCTGCCTAGACAGTTCAGAAGGCCACAATGCCACGTCGTAACCACTTGACTATAGGATCTTGTGGTGTTTTACGACCCCATCGAAGTCTCAAGTTGAGTGTTACAGTGAGCTTTATCCTCTGTTCTACGTCCGTAACCCCTAATGGCTGTCGGTCATTGAGGTATCTCAGGTTTCGTTGTCGCGTTGTCTGTTCCCTTCAATGAATGTCTTGGTGGGGGTACAATGGGTATTGTATGTGGAGTGATGATAACGAGCTCCCCCAACGAGTTCAGCTCCGCATAAGACGTGGAGCAAAAAAAAATCGGAACTCTCCGTAACTACAGCTTATAGATGTAGCAAAAGCATGTAAGCATAATCAAGGGACTATAGTTTAATGGTAGAATAGCTGCCTTCCATTACTGGCGAGCAGCTGGCGCGAGTTCGATTCTCGCTGGTCTCATAGAGATCCTTCCCCTCCTTTTTGCGGTATTCCTGAGTTTTTCTTTTTTTGCAACCATATGCCTACTCCCTTGACATATCCCTTGATACTCAGCCTTAGCGGACTTACCTTTTTTCCGGGTATCGTCCAGATGAGCTTTCTGGCATCTCTCTGTCGTATATCTTCCACCATACGGTATGTGTTGTTTTCGGGATAACAAGAGCCGCACGCCTCCATCGCAACACAAGTAGCACAGTATAATGTCTGTCTAGAGCTCAAGAGGACGAGACCAGAAGGGAGCACGCATAAGGCAGCCTGCCCCTTCTAATCCGGTCATATTGAACGGTAAATTTGGCCACCACGTTGACTTCGCAATGTGGCGATTCTACCTCACCATGACAAGGCAAGTCAGCTGTGCCAGAAAATACCGAAGCTCCAGTTGGTCGCTCAACCTGTTGAAAAAGCGTTCACTCGATACAGCGCAAGATGACTATCAGTAACCGGCTGTAACTGTGGTATCAGCATGCAGCTTTGACATATGTCCAACGTTTGTAGATATGGCAGAATACAACAAGCTGGCGGAAGGAGGTCCTCGGCTGTCCATACTTGAAACACTGAGCAGTTATGTGAAGGCGCCAGTACTCCACCTGGGCGTTCATTTTGGAACAGATCCTATTCACACTACTGTCTTTACGATATGGGCGATGAACACCTGCAACCTGCCAACTCAGAGCCCTACTTTGCGGAAACGCAACTGACATCCTCTGGAAGGGAGTGATGCGAAGCCAGGTTGCTGACCAGAGTAGAAATTCTAGTGCGTGAGACACGCAGTGAGACGTTGTGCGAGTGATGATCGCTTGAGCGGTATGTGCTTTGAAGTATTCCACGTAGGCTTGACGATATATGGCGTACGCATGATGTATAAACACTTGACAGATGCATGATCGCTTACACTATCCGGTTCACGCGACTGAGGTATCCTACCGCAACCTACGCACTCACCTGTACATCTCGCATTCCACCGTCTGGATAGCAACTACCCTACCGCCGCTAGATGTCACGACTGCCCAGAAGCTAGCACGTACGGTCAGGACATGGGTGATGATAGCTACTGATATGACTTGCAAGGGCGGCGATATGGGCTTGCCCAGAGTCTTGCAGGCAGAATAGTTTCGATCTTGATGTTTGCATCGAGTGCGCCGCAGACATCACTGATTGGGAACTCCGTCTACTCACGCAGGTCGTCTGTCTGAGGAGCTCCCCACAGCTCTCTTCCACCGTAGATATTGCCTCAGAAGGCGCCTGGATGCGACGCAAAGCTCACGGATTTCGGCTTGACGAGGGCGCTACGAGGATAGGCGATATCCGTTGTGATTGCGCACAGTCAATGGTAGTCTTATGCTCGATATATGGATCGATCTTCGAGTCGTGAGATGCTGATCCTTACATCCAAGTTTATTACACCGCCAGTTACAGCGAAAGCGCCAAGTAGGGAGCGAGGAAGCCGAGCCGGCAACCAAGCCCTCGGAGATACACGGAGGCGAGAGTCGCCCGGCGTCCCCGTGATTTTCGAATGGCAGCATTCTGTGGAGGCTGATTTCGATTTCTTGTATCCGAGTCATGGTGATTTCGAACTTTTGGACGGCATGGACGAAAACGCTGTCGACGGTGGTGAACCTGTATTTCGCAAACAGTCTTTACAGAGTATATCATTTGAAGCTCTTTGAACAAAAGGGGAAGTTAGGGAATAGCAACCCAACGTCTCGTGCACATATACCAGCTGGTGCGGTCCGACAGAACCAATAGCAGATTTCAGCAGCTGCATCACATTTAACCAATATCTTCAGCGACCAGTGACAAGCACGGACGATCGTTATACCGCTTTGACCGCCTCGAGGCCGACTACCAACCTGGATCACCTCAGCAGAACACAAAGGGAGGACTAGAGGATACTGAACCACGAGACACGGCAATTTTTTTCCAGACCAAGACAAGATCCTTGCAAAACAGCACATCACACAAGTAGAATTCACATCAACCTATTATATCAAGATGGCTCAAGCACCTGTTATACCACCTCGGTTATCAACTCCGTCACCGGTGGGGAGAAAGAAGGCATATCCATTCATGTGAGTTGTTGCGCTTGATTTCCTCTGGGCTGAAGGTTCGAAGTATGGGGGTTACAAGGCTGTTTCGAGCAGAGTCGTTCCGTGAAATCCGATGCAACCGTCTGCATAGCTACTGTGGACGCTTGTCGTTGGCTCATGGTGCCATTCACAGATGGGATGGTGGTTCGGCGCAGTACGGGCCGGAGGCGAGGTTGGGCTTGGTGTTTAGCAGGGTATCGATGTTACACGCAGCATGGAACTGAACTCTAACCTTGTGCTCCTCCCTTCAGGCTAGGCGGTAAGAAACTTTGTCTCGAACAGACATTCTCCACGGTCCATTTCACTCATCGCTGTTCCTTTCGTATCTTTGCAATTTCTTCCATGATAATTAGGCATGGCATCCGCAGGAGCGACATTCTTCACGTACGAACTCGTTTCCCGCATCGCGAGGCCTTCGTGTGAAGCAAGCTAACCTTTGACGGCTTTTCCTTCGTAGACATCCCCTGGATCTTACAAAAGTGCAGATGCAGACTGCTAAAACGAAACAGAAATCAACGGGACAATTTTTTGCCAATATTATCAGACAACATGGTAGGCCCCCAGGTCCGCGTCGCCATAGATGCGTTTTCGCTGAGCCAGCCGTTCCTTCTTGCTTATCAACTGATAGGCATTCGTGGCGCATATGACGGTCTCACAGCTGCACTACTGCGCGCGCTCACATACTCAACATTCAGGTTTGGCGCCTACGAAGTCGTGAAAACGAAATGGCTGGCGAAGGATCCGAGTATGCTTAGCATGATTGCGGCGAGTGCAGGTGCTGGCGGTGCGGCTGGTTTGCTGGGTGTTCCTGCCGGTAAGTCTGGAGAGCAATAACCCAGCACTGTCTAGGGTTGCCTGATATACTGAGGGCTGCATGCTATTTCGCTTTCATTTTGCGTTTAGAGGTGGTCTTGATCCGGATGGCGTCAGATCGTACACGTCCACCGCAGGAACGATATGGATACAGGAACTGTGTGCATGGTCTCTACAGGATCACGAAAGATGAAGGGTTTCTGGCGCTCTATCGTGGTGTTGCGCCGAACGTCGTACGTCCTCCGTTTCACCCATCCATCTGGCCTCTCCATCTCCGCTGACGGAATGAATTGCCATTTCATTTAGGTTCGAGCGATCCTCATGAACGCATCACAGCTTGCATCGTATGACTACTTTAAAAGCACCTTGTTGAAAATACAGGGAACAAGAGATGGCCCAGTGCTGCAGTTCGGAGCCAGTTTCTTGGCTGGTACGGTTGCGACGAGTAAGTGCTAAAACCCTTGCTGCTGCAACTCCGGGTCATAGGCTGACTTTTGTTATTCTAGCCGTTTGTGCTCCCGCAGATGTCGTCAAGTCACGGGTGATGGCAGCGAAGAGCAGTGCCGAGGTAAGTCCGAGGTGCTAGATCCGCTGGTCCAGGATATGTTATTCATCATGGCTGTCACTCTTGCTACTATGTAGAGCATACCCCAGATTATCATGAACGCGGTCAAAACTGAAGGTCTGCCATTCTTCTTCCGAGGCTGGACAGCTGCATGGTATGTTTCGCAATGGCTTCCGGTTACACCCGGATGATGCTGACTCGTTCATGCTGCGTTCTCCAGGGTGAGACTGTGTCCGCAGACGATCCTCACTCTAGTGTTCTTGGAGCAGCTACGGCTCGGTGTGGACCTCTGGAGAGGGGAAAAGAAGCTGTAGATAGACATTGAGCGATAAAAGTATATATAGCAGGAGCTGTGTAGGAGTATAATACTGGCGAGGATGGAAGGCATAGAAGCATATTATAGATGGGTTTGTCGATCCGCAATATACGCGTCATATCAACGCTCAGTCGGAATCCAGGTCCAGGATACAATACAACACAGCCTTCATAATCTCCTTTGGAAGGAGGCAGGACTCCTATTCAGTCCAGGTATATAGAGAGTTCCCTTTCTTTCGTGTCGTGAAGGCAGCCATTAGCAATCCATTTGCTATATTGAGTAGTACACAGGGTTATCCAATATCCGACGGCCAGGCAGGGATCTTGATTAGCGCGCCGCCCTTGGCTCTTCCGAGACAAAGGATTGCTGAGGCAAATTGGCTGAAGAGTCTGCATCACAACAAACGATATCTTATTCCACTTCAACGACCGTCCCCGACGTTCAACGATGGCACGCACACTCAACATCACCATCGACGACTTTGATCCCTTGATTGGTATGCCGGCGTCGGGAAGCGATACAAGTCCATCGCTTACAACTTCTCTCCTCCTCTCATTTAGCCTACGCGAATCCCTTGCAGTGGACAACTCCTAACCCGCAAGACCATCCATCGTGGTTCAACCAAAGCCAAGAAGAGACAGGCTCAGTATGGCACCAAGGTACGCCAGTTGCGTTCTTCTGCTTCGTGACATGTGCTTACATGCTTTACATGTCCAGCTACCTACCATCAAACAAACGTTCCAGGAGCTGAACTCAGGTTCAACTTTACAGGCGAGTCAAGGTGGAATCATGTCCATTATACGGGATGCTTATACTAAGCCTGCTTTATCGGAGTAGGCGCATCGTTGGACATCTATGGGTTCTCGAATACTTCGTACCAGATCATCATTGATCCCTCCATCAGCCAGCCGTACACGACAAATATCACTACAAGCAATGCATTGGCGAGCACCGCGGACTCATCGTCGCGAGCTACCCTATTCTCTACCACTTCCCTTTCCAGCAATGCACAACTTTCTTGCGCACAGCATGAAGTCATCGTCCGCAACGTCGGTCTGCAGGAAGGCAAGGGAACAGGGGTGTTGGGCGTGGACCTCGTTATTATCGGAGGTATTCCAGTGGGAGGGGAAGGGTAAGTCGGTGTTGCTTCTCATTCCTTTGCATACTGAGCTGACGGGGC